GAACACAGTGTTTGGTTACACTCTCATGGGACATGCTCCATGTGAAAGTAATTCTAAATATAACAAAGATTCTTCTCATCTCACAACTATGTTAAATGTCTCTGAATTTGATCTTCATTCCTCTTTACAAAGGCATTGGCAGCATGAAGAACCTCCCAGACAGACCGAATGTAAAGTTTCAAATAAAAAACATTTAGTGAAAACACAATCTAGAGAACCCTCTGCCAGATACTGTGTTAGGCTGCCATTCAAACCTAATCACCATCATCTCGGCAACTCTAGTAACAACACCAAAACAAGATTATTTATACCAGAAGAGAAATTTAAAACTCAACCTCATTACAAAGAAGCATTCCAGAAACCTCGTCTTGTAACTCATCTTTCAGAAGATCCATCAGACCTATCTACACAAACCCATGGATACTTTCTGCATAGTACACCTCATACGATGAATAAACTCAAAAGATGGCATCGATGGAGACTACCTTCATCTTGTTGTGATTCAAGACATCCTTACACCTCCAATGTGTTGGCCACTGGCTAGAATTGTTGAAACACACCCTGGTTCAGATAACATTACAAGAGTTGTGACTGTGCGTACGAAGAATGGACTCCTCACTAGACCGGCAATCAAGGTTTTCCCACTGCACTTGAAGACTAAATTTTATTACAGTTCCGCCCCTTTTGTTGCTTTAACTTTCTCTGTTTTAATTAGGCCTACTGTTTCTGTACTCACTTGTTAAATTAATTAATTGAACCTGCGGTTCAAGGGGCCCGGCATGTTTAGTATTCTATGGTTTATTTTATTTCAGTCTGGCTTCAACACATGTTTTGGGGGTTTTTCAATTTTACTACATGTGATTATTGTTTTGATAATATCAATGTTGTTAGAAATAGTCAAGGAATACATCACAGTTTTTACCTAATTCATTTTGCATTTTTTTGTTGGTGATTTTCTCTATAGATTATGTAATTGTATTTTAAAGTTATATAAAGGACTTTCTCATTCTTAACCTCAAGACTCAATTCAAGATTGGTAAGATATAATTAATTATTCATGGTAATCTCTATTCAGTTCCATTACATCAAACATAAAACTATTCTATCCACTTTAAATTCCCTAATAATTTCAAACTTGCTGATAATATAAAAAAGATATAAGATAAAATCGAAAAAATTGTTACTTTAAAAAAAAAATGCTGTTCACGAATAAAATTATAAATGCATCAAATTCTAACAAAATATGTACAGTTAAGAAGTATTCACATTCTAAGCAAAATCTTTGACAATAAGTTAGTGTCCCCGACTGGATTTCAAACCGGAGACCTCCTGAACACCAGTCCGAAACGCTATTAACTATGCCACGAACGCCACTGGAAACACAGTCTTATTACGGTAATCGTGTTGCCTCAAGAGAAGACATTAGCCACTATTATAGATATGGCGTCACTACACCTTTAGCCTTAGTCCCTCCCGTGTGGATTATCCGTAAATCTATCAATTGAAGTCAGCTGTAATTTGGCAGTTTGTTCAAAGAGCAGAGGTTAAGAGGTAAAGGTTCTGATCCTGAGAGGTTCTAAAGTTTTATGATTATGAGAATAGTACCAATAATAATGTGATTGCAGTTAAAAGGTTTGGTTATGTATTAATAAGCCATAAAATAGATTGAAAATATTTACACATTAAAGACTATTTGGTATAAGTATAAAGTAATTTATAGATAGAAAAGATTTTTAAAATACCATGTTTTTAAACACACTAAAAAGTAGAAAATAATTTATAAATATGTAGAGAGAATATATACTTGTAAGATTTAAAACGAAAAACGTTGGGCGCATGCAATAGATAATAATCCAATAGGTTAAGATAATCGTAAATTAGCTATTGCATGCGACCCAAGTTTTTGGTTTTAAATCTTGCAAGTATTTATTATCTCCACATATTTATACATTATTTTCTACTTTTTAGTGTCTTTAAAAACGTACGTTTTTTATCTATGAATTATTTTTAATTTGTGTCGTCGATTATCAGCTAAAGTTTAAAATCTTAAAGAGTTCTGTTAGTAATTTTTAAGATGAGTGTTTTATTTTATCATTATTAAAATAATTTCTTGACCAGTATCATTTGTATATTACCATGCTACGAATAGTGGTTGGTATTGTTCTTTAGTGCAGGTTTAGCAAAATACCCGATTTCTTCAGTCATTTTTGTTAGATGTGTTAACAAATAATACAACCCAATTCTTAAAGTTACCCAACTTTTAAGATAAGCTAAGTAGACATTAAATACTGAAACATCTTGTTTGTGATGTGGATCAGTGATCAGTAGTATTTCTTCCATGTCTGTAGTTCACAACCAATACAGTTTTTTACAAAAACAAATATATTTTGGTAGGCCTAAAACATTACATTCTCGTAATTTTTTATCGTTGAAGCACAAAATTACAATATGTGATGTGGAAAGCGAATAGGGACCTCTTGTAGGGAATTTTCTATTTTGAGTTATATATTTGAATTCCTTATTAAATTCCGAATCACTAGATGCAAGTCCCATGCATCTACGATTTTTTTTTTTTTTTTTTTGTGAAAGTTAGGACTTTGAAATTTTGTTATGGAAAAAGGTCATTTTGATAAAAACTATTTTGAAAATTTCAAATACGCATAAAAACTGGTTTTTCGTGGTTAAGAAACAATTGGGTTGTATCAAACGAAAAGCTTATAATGTTCTCTTTGGAGACATAATACCAATTTTTGTGTTGACTCACGGTAGTTTTAATTTAAATAATTGTTTTATCAAAGCTTGTCGTAAAAATCGAATCTCAGAAAAGGGACCTCCTGTCGGTCCTATGTTATTTACCCATAAGATAAGAAAAGGTACCTCTTGTTGGGACTAAAAATTTGTGAGATATTTTGTTTTCCGTAAACTGGACTTTGTTGTAGTTCTTTAAATTACCACTAGAATGTATTAGAATTCATTTTTTGGACTAAAGTCTGTTTATAAATTGAATATTAGAAATGGTACCTCTTTTGTCGTTATGGCGATATAACATTGAGCGACAAGAGGTACTTTTTCTCAGACCGTTCAGAGGCTAACATTATGATTTATTTCGACCTTTACATCTTCAATTCGATAGTTTAACCGATGACCTGTTCTATGTTAAATGATGTTAAACAATCGATAAAATCCCGAATTTCGATATTTGTTACCTCATTTACTTATATTGGCCGTACTGAAAATTTTGCATCGACGACAAGAGGTCCCTTTTCGCTTTCCACATCACAATATTGATTTCAAGGTGAAAGAAAGCAAGAAAAAAACATACTGTAATCGTCAGGTTACCTCATCATTGGGTCATCTCTTGCAAAAAGAGTTTGTCAAAAATAAAATGAGTTTTCGCTTTAGTTTAACAGGAGAGACTTGTAAAGGTGAGTGCAATTGATTTGTTAGAAAATAAAAAATAAAAATGTTTACTTTTAGAATGTTTTACTGAGTTTTAATCACAAATAATGTCCATGCAAAAAATATATGCATAAATATAAAAATATATGATATGTTATCGATTAAAGTAACAATTTAAGTGAATGCTCTATTTTTGTCTCTATTCCGTTGCAAATTCAATTATTTTTTTTTAAGATTAAATGACTATAGGCACAGGCCGCTATGGCAATCAATTGACATTTTTCTGAGTTTCAACCACATTACATCATCATTTATTTGATGTAAGTAGTAATAATTTTAGATCCTGTAAATTTACTAGTTAGTTGACATAATATTAACATGGGGACACTGCTGTCTTTGTACTTGGTCCTTTTCAAGATATTATGAGTGAATAAAAAAATTTAATTTGAATTCTGACAGGTAAAATGTCTAACAAAACATGGATTTTAAAGGTTACTTATTTAGTTTGAAATCTTTTGCTTATATATTACATTACATTTAATTGTGGTCACACATAAATTGCACAGATTTATGCAGAATGCATCGACTGTTAAAATCTGAAAACGCTTAGAAATTCTTTTTAATTTAGTTTTTATTTGGCCCCTCTTGCCTTATCAACCATGTTCCCCATAAGTGTGACTCTACTCCAAATACCTAACACATGGGTGAGGTTCATTTGTCCTAGGTTTGGTGATAAACTAATTAATATTTAGATAAATCAACTGTCCGAGTTTATGAAATTATATTAAAATATCAGTTGTCCGAGTTTTCACAATTGTTTGAGGTTTGTTTAAATAATTATAGTATTTAGTAAACTAGTGTCTAAGCTTTTATTTGTTTGAGTTTTCAACTGTCCGAGTATCATCAGCGCGCGCCAAAAGTGACTGCTACCGAGCTGCTAGTTTAGTCCCTTCAAGAGGTAATCATATTGTCATAGTACGGTACGGTAATTAAAGCAGATTTTTCAATTACACATCCTGTTTACTGTTTGATTTTATGTTAGTATTATATAATATTTTTATTAAATGAAAATAGTAGGATTCTTGCATAACCTAACGTACCCTAACCTTACGTTACCTAACCGTCAGTACGATGGCGAGCACAGTGTCGGTCTGATTGCTTCTTGCGTAGACTGTACTAGCGGCTCGGCGGCAGAGTCGCTTTTGGCGCTGATGATACTCGGAGAGTTGAAAAATCGGACAAATGATATTTCAATATTTTTTTTTATCATTTAAAACATCAGACAAATGAAAGCTCGGACAGTTGATTTAACCAAATATTTTATTTAAACAAACCTCGGACAACTGATATTTTAATATCATTTAATAAACTCGGACAGTTGATTCAACGAAATATTATTATATTTATTTAAACAAAACTCAGAAAAATGAACCTCGGACAACTGATTTTCTTAATATTTTGTAATATTTAACATACTTGGACAGATGAAAAATTGGACAAATTTTGTGATCCGTAACAAATCATGATATTCATTCAAACCAATTATTTATCTTATTAGTACTTCTAAAATACATCCTAAGTGTTAAATTGATAAATTTTACCTTGATACTGATGATGAAGAATAACAGCACAGTTGCATACTTAAGTGTAGTCATCTTGCCAGTAAGATTAGAACTATTTACCATGGGTTCACCCCTGTTACTTATACTTGGTTGACGTTACGCCTGGAACATAATTTCCTGTATCTACTAGGTTATCTTCCAGCAGCCTTGTTCTATATTTCAACAACCGTGATGTCTGCTGTCTCAGGTGTCCGTAATGTTAAAGTGTGCAGGCTGTAAAATATTTCTCAATATGTGAGATAAACTAAGTCCTCTTTCTTTAAAATTGGAAAAAAACCTTTCAAAATTTAATAGATGCCATAAAAATAGGCTGTGGCATCAGAGAATTTTACCTTATAGAAGCTGGAATTATTTAATAACCGATAAATGGTTTAAGAAATCAATGTAATAAAATAAATTTGGGAATCTTTGTCTAAGAGCCTTTTAGGTAAGAATATTTTGTGTACACAATGTAATCACATATATTTTCTGTAATGCCATAGCTAATGCATTCATTTTTCTAACATTGGGTGAATAACGCGATGTTATTTGGTTTTTTGACAAATGTTCTTTTAACTGTGAGTTTTGTTTGGAGGTTTTTTTTAAGGAGTTGTTTTATATATTTTTTTAAAGAACTAACTCCGTCCGACTTACTATTTCACAACCTTTAGTTTAAAAGCAAAATTTTTCTACTATGGAAGAAAGACTTATCATTTAATTATATAAGCTACAACTAACCTCAACTTCATCAAATCCAGCATATTTCTCGACAAGCAGCATGAGTGGCCCCAAACACTGTAGTGGGGTTACTATTTATCCATAGTTCAAAAGTTACGTCAAGTAAAGCTGTAAATTAAATTTTAATTTATAAATGGATTACTCATGAAGTAGTGTTATACTTGTAATTTTTCTAACTTTCCGAGGGACATTTGTGGCAAAACCTTGGAGTATGTCAACCCCAGCTCACAGCCTTGTTGTCATGAGTTTTTGAAGTTTTGTACTCTTGTATAATGTGAGGTCTGTGTGTTTCAGTGAGAGCAGCATGTTCGTGTCTCGGCGTCGCTTCATACTCAAAACGTGTGGAACCACAACCCCACTACAGTGTTTGGGGCCACTCATGCTGCTTGTCGAGAAATATGCTGGATTTGATGAAGTTGAGGTTAGTTGTAGCTTATATAATTGAATGTTAATTCTTTCTTAAGTACAGTTAGAACAAATAACCTAGTACTCTGCTTGGACCAGTCATCCTGCTTTCTTTAATTGTGAAACAGGGGAATAACTTACCCTCATCACACTGACTAGATGTTTGAAAAATTACTGAAAACCCCTTAACTCTGTGCTTTAGATTTTCCATGCATCTTGGCTTATTTCCCCCAACTGCATCATTGGCAAATAGTTTTAAAACTAAATGCAGTTCAAACATTTTATTTCACCTAATGCCCAACAATAGATAAAGGGCAACAAGTTAGATCTCATAAAGTTCAGTACATTATTGAAAGAGTGCATATTAATCCTAGTCATTTATTCCATTGATATATGTTCCACTTCCCTCAAGTAATTTAGTAGTGTAGAAGAGAATTGTCAATGTAATATTTAGTTATTTATTGTTTTTACTGTTTTGTAACTTTTTTAGCCTTCCGTGTTATTTACTAACTGCATTTTTAGAAGTAGCTTTAGAATTAAATTGATCCTGTGTACCATCTACATGTAAATGAATAACAATATTCCAATATTGAATATATAATCATAGGGTGCAGTTACACATTTTGGTACAACTACTGATTTTAGTCAATACAGTATCAGTATATTCTCAAAAATGCATAGTAATGTCACAGACAGTTGTATCTGTATTTCATGGGGTAGCTCTTAAGCTGGCTGTTTGGTCATTAACAGTGGTAATGAGCGACATATTTGACTATTGTTGCTATTGCACCATGCAAGTTCCATACAATAGTCCAATATGATTGCACGGCTATTAAAAGCGGTAATGAACGATAATGTAAAAATATTGATAATATGCTATGACAATCGATGTAAACAATTTTAAAATGTGACTGTTATACTTCATTATGATACTAAGTTGTAATGAAATGCACAATTTTAGTACCAAAACCCTCCATATTTACGGTAAATTTCTACGATCTCTTGTTTAATTTAACCAACGTAATTACATAACAAGTGGAAACAACATGAAAACAAAGGGATGAAATTAGTTTGGTTGAAAGAAAAATCACTTTGATATCAAAAGCACCAAAATAGCAAGATTTTGATTTAAAATATATCCATCCCCCTTTTGTTAGTCCAATTTTTCATTTTATTAGTCTTTTGTGCTTAGTTGCTTTACAATTATAAATTCAATGGGATTTCATGTTATTTTATTATAGAGATACTCTTTATAGGTGTTCTTCTAAAAATCTCGGTTATTAATTTTGGTATTTTGTCCATTATACAGTTTTAAACTTACATCTTTCAATTAATTATATAAATCTAATAATCCCATTTTACTTTTAAAACTTTTAATAGTCTGTGTGTTTTAAGTTTCTAGGTTTAGATATAGTCACTAAAATTCCTAATCTATTCTGGCCAGGTCTATACAAATGTATTTTTTTATATGTATAAAAGATGATAAAATATTGAACTATAAAAAATCAGGTAAAATTAAACACAATATAACTAGGGACATTTCCTGTGTGATATAATATAACGTGTATTTTTTTAAGAATATATGAGTAAAATTGCAGGAAATATAGTCCCCACATAATCCTAAGAATATTTATGTTTCTTTATATATAAATTGCCAAAAAATCTTTTCTAAAAATACATTTGGCCTGTCCACGACAGCAATTTTATCAACTAGGTCATACATTGTTAATTAATGGTACCGTATACAAACTTTAATCATCAGCAGTTCAGGTTGCTTCAGTTGGTCCCTTCTCAATGATTGATAATTGCTGACATAAATTAATTAACATTTGTCATTCGTCTCCTCATATGAATATCTAGACAACATTAATTTATTTCATAAGTAGGCCTACTTTAACTAGTACTTAAAATACATATCTGTGGAATAATAATACAATCAGTTGTGTCCCCATATTTATTATCGAGTGATAATATTGGTAAGATTAAAAAGCTAAGTTAACTTTCCCTGTTTCATTGCATTGCATAAGAATTCTTGCAATGAAAGAAATTTCAACAGCTGTATGATTCATAACCAGTTTTCTACAAACACTTTTGAACAATAGCTTCTGGTGCTCCATTTTGCATTAGAAAGCTAAGCTAACTGACTTTCCCCGATTGCATTGCATTGCACTTGCATCGCGTTAGCCGAGAATAAGTTGCGTGGGATCAGCGACCTCGACTGACGGAATGTTTCCCATACAGGTAATGAGTCTGGTATTTTGGTGTGGCATTTTGCCTCACTAAACATAGCCGGTTTATAATTAGACACTTCCGCATAAAGACTGGCGCAATATATCTAAATCTGCCCCTCTTCGTGTAACACTCTTTTCTTCTGTTATGTTGATTGAATCACATTATAACCTAACATCTATTCATTAATTTTTGTACCTTTACTTTAATTTGTCTAAGTAAATTAAGTAATCACTGGTTCTTGTTTTTGTACAAATTTAAATATATTTAATGGTTTTCTAGGACGTTTTCTACTCTCGCAAGAATTTCAAGCGCCCTGATCTTCAGAAAAATCCTCATCGTAGTTTTGAAAAAGAAGTCACATTTTTGGATTCCTTCTTTGCCAATGGTAAGTCTAAATTGACTCGTGTATTATATAATGTGGTATCTTTTGACCCTTTTTATAGGCTAAGCCATGTGTATTTATGAAGTAAGATAACTCGGAGAGAGGAGTTATCAACTAATAAGTTACCATTTTTTGGCAGCAGATAAGATAACCAGTTTGGTACATTAATTGGGTTCTTGATACTTAATATACAGAAAATTGTATGCTGATGGTTCTTTTATCCTTGCTGATTTCCTTAAGAATTATTCTAATCCTGGATATACTGAATCCTACTCCAGATTGTCTACATTGATATTATCATTATCATCATGTAATTTTAAGTGGTTGGTTTTAACTTGTACTATAAATACACTACCTAAAATTTACTTTCTGATCCAATTACTTGTTAAATTTTTTTACAGTTATAGAACTAAAAGGGTAGTTTGAATAAGCTACCAACAGGTTGTGTCAAATGATGTTGCCGTAATTATAGGATATAATCACAGGGTTGCAGAGACTAGATGTTCATAGTTGTTACTGCTATAGCAGGAAATCATCACAAATATTGCAGGGATCGTGGGGGATAATTCCCCACAACCAATTTTGATGTGATTCTGATGTAAAAAATTTAGAAAATTATAAAAACTGTTCAATTATAAATTTTAGAAGTAAATAATAGTTAGAATATATTATCATCATATTGGGTTCCCTTCCATATTGTTTACTATTTCAACTGGTCTTGAATTCAAAATTTGAATTTCCGGAATAGAATTCAATTTTGAAATATGAAAATCTCCGCATCCTATCACCAATGTTTGTTTTAACAACAATGAGCCAAAAAGCATGATTGAAACGCAATGATCAATGCACAAAATGTTATAATATTATCTTGTTACTTGGATGATTTCGGTTGTAAAATTATAAAAGTCCTGGAGCTGTCCTTTTTTCATGGTTTGCTAGACAACACTTGTATACATATTTAGTGTGAACACTGTAACGCTTGTCTCAGTTCCAGACAGTCCTAAGCCTGATGTTGCAGGAGGCACGGCCTACTGTCTGGGCTCTCCGGCACGGGACTGTTGGTATCTCTACACCCTCAACCCCACCTCACGTCACACTCGTCCTCGCGCCCCTGACCAGACACTGGAGGTGCTCATGACAGACTTGGACCCCGAGGTGATGAAGATCTTCACTCAGCAAGGCGCCTCCTCCGCCGCAGATGCTACCCAGGTACCTCTTGGACAGTTTGATGTGCTCTGTTCCAACTCCCTACTTTTCTCCATCCTTAGAACTAGCCTATACGAATTTCTACATCCTCATCAAAATGTTCTTGATAATGTGACTTTGCAATTTTGAATCCCTCTGTAACCAAACTTATATCTAATTTGAGTTTTTTGATGATTCAAATTTTTAGTATTAGCCTACATTGCTGTTTAAAAATCTGAGTTACAGTAATGTGGAAGCTGTTAGCAAAACTCTGGTTTTCTAAAGTTCTCTACAAGATGTATTTCAAGATTTTCTCAGTCATTTAACACAAGAAGACTGATGAATAACTACTGTTAATTTGTGACAGATGTACAACAATGTTGTTACTTTATCAAGCCAAAATTGATTAATTTTTATCGGTCTGCGGTCTTTAGGCCTATTTCCAAACATCCCCAAAAATTATTTTTCCTAATATCCTAATTCCTCAAATTAACAAATATTTTTATTATTAAAACTATCAAATTATTTAGGGAAATATTATTTGTACCTATATAAGTTTTTAAGTTGGGGTTTCTTTTTTGCAGAAGTCCGGCATTGATCTGATCATCCCACAGATGGTCATAGACGATTACTTGTTTGAGCCGTGCGGCTACTCAATGAATGGGATAACCAAGAATGTAAGTTGTGTTAACTGTTGTAACAATCATCACCTAGAGGATGGATAAGTAATCAGTGCTTATCTACACTGTTAGAACGTTATAATGACGATCAATGAAAGCAATGAAGTCTAGTGTGAGACAGTAAATTAGATAGCTTATCTTGGTGTAGTTTATGGGATGTGACTTTACATCATTTCTTAGATTTTCTTAAAATGTATACGTGATTTTGTAATAAAGTTTTAAATTGTATTTTTTTCTAATTAAAGACCAAATGAAGATGTTGAACTACAAATTGTACTGTTAAGAATAATTATTCTATTATGATACACTAGTCATCATTCTAAATCAAACCTGTGACGAAGGATATATCTATTCTACTCCCATGTCAAATGTGACTCCAGGTTTAGAATGAAATTGAGAGTAGTTCAATTGAGTTTAATTGAGGTGCTAATTTCTGTAGTGTATAGAAATTTATCTATTTTGTTTTTACCTAGAAAAACGGAAAGGTCAAATTTTCTGTAAATTCTTGCATATTTTACATCATATAAACGGACATCATATCAAAAACTAAACATTAATTGAATTTAAAAATTAACTGCAGCCGGTCCATATAGATAGGATGTTTACTCTGGTATCTTGGAGTCAATTGTTGAACTCAATGACTGCTTTATGTAGATTATTGTTATGGTCAAACCGATAAACTTGTACAGAAATTACATAAATGTATATAAGTCAACGTCTTTTCCTGTGCTTTGTGTGTATGACTTTGTAGTATGTGAATATAATTTTCACTCCCCAATCTTAATTTTTACTTTAACAATCTTATGACAGCAATATAATACGTTAAAACATACAGACATTTCTTTACCAGCTAATAGGCCTATGTGGCACAGTCGTAACTGAATTGATAAAAATAAAAACAATTCCCTAGCATGTATCTTCAACAAGAACGTTGTGTTTCAAATTTCTGTTGAATATAGTAGTTAGTGGGAAGTTAGCTAGAATACTGCTCCGTCTTTAAATAATAGTTTTAGTGAGTAAATAAACTAATAATACAAAATACCAACAGGGTTGTTACATGACCATTCACATCACTCCAGAGAAGGACTTCTCATATGTCAGCTTCGAGACCAACATGCCCCAGGCTTCATACAAGGATATCATCAATCGCGTTGTCAATACTTTCCGTCCTGGAAAGGTCGTCATCACTGTTTTCGCTAATAAGGTAATTTTTTGTGGATGTTAAATAAGTTTATTTTTTGACTACCTGAAGGTAACATGGAATTTGGAATCTTTGATATGTGGTGTAACATTTTTTAAATCTTTCTTTTTACACTTGTTGGTGTGTAATGAGCAACATTGAAAACTCTTGAATATCTGTTAACTTTAAGTAATTGGGTTTACCACAGCACTAGCTATTAGACTGTAAAAAGAGGCAGTCTGATTTCCAGCTGATTAACTTGTTAGAATGCTGACTACATCAATTGATCGCTATATGCATAATTGACTACATCATTAAAACTGTTTCTCTACGGACACTAGCTCATTTACCAATGTTCTGGTTGTAGGAGTCTACAGCCGCAGAGTTTCCAGCAGCTTTACAGCAGATCCCCATGGTCGGAGAGACTCTCCGTCGCCAGGACACTCAGTATTGCCACCTTCACAACTACGATCTCACCTTCGCCTTCTACTCCAAGTTCCCAAGCTGAGGCCGTCGGGACGCCCGCGGCCCCTGCTCCCAGTCTGCCATCCCTCGTCCCCGACTCCTCTTTGCTTGGTGGCAGTACAAAGTCTCCTGAATCCGTTTAAAAGCTGTAGATATCTTAAGGAATGGTCACTTTAGCTGGGTACTGTTATGACATTTAAGTTTTTATTGCCCCTGATTTGTTTTCTGTATCTCTTTTTCTGTATTTTTCGTTCACCTATGAGGGTGTCGCTGTTGAAATGTGTCCGGCTTTCGCAGTCGGAGTTTGTCCAGAGCCTGGATGTGTTTCTCGTTAAAGTTGTTTAGACGATTACAAATAAAAATCAAACACAACACTACTGTTTTTTGTTATTTTTTTACTATTGACTCATTTAAGTAAAGAACTTTAGCAAAAACACGGTTTCCAGGCTTCTGAGAAAACAAATTTATAAAAATTAACGATTAAAAATATATATTGCGATGCAGAAATTTTTTATATTGTAGGACAACACACGTGTTAAAAAATAAATATTTATGGTATGACAAATGTGGCATTTAAGTTTGCTTGTCGACGTATAAATTTTAACTTTTTTTGTTATTTTGTTAGTGCTAATATTTATTGCCCTATTATATTTATTGATTAGGTAAATATGATAGGTAGCGGCTAGAAGTTGCTCTATATTAGAGTGAGTTTTGTCTGTAAGCAGACTTATTTCCAAAGCTGTGGCACAATTTGCAATAAACAGGTAATTTACAAAATTGTTAAACTTTAATCCTACTGATTAACCAATGTATAATGATTATTTAAACAGTTATAAAACCTACTAATAAAAATAGTCTGATTTCAGGTAAATTTTTCCCGGGTCTAGGTCTTACCATGACACCTATGGTAATAGCTTATTTCCTATGTGGGAAATCCACTTAAGGTAAACATTCCAGTTCAAAAAGAAAATTCTAAAAATTTTTAGGAACCTCTTCAATATTTTAAAACCAACCGGGTAATTTTGTGAACATATTTTATTTATTAAAATTTTTTATGTTTTTATAGCAATCCCACCTTTTCTTAACAGCTTTATCAATGTATTTTGCTTCTAATTAATATTTGTTATTTTCATCATCTCCCAAAGATGATGCTTGGCGACCAATCAAATGAAGGCGTGTGCTGGTATGTGTGCAGCATCAAATGATTCACCCTCAAAGTATGTTGTGATTCTCTTGTTTTATATTGATATTAATTTCTCTATCTCTGAGGACGGTTAAAAGGAACCAATAAGAAATTGTATATTTTTAACTGAGACGTTTTAGTTTTGAACAATGCTGCATTCATTCCTGTGTAGATCTGTGATCCTGATAACTAAGGCTGTCTCTTGTGTGTTTACATTAGTTAGTTAAGGATATTCAATTAAGTTTTTACTCATAAGATTTTGTGCCCAAGCAAAGAGAAGTCGGTCTTCATGTTTGTGCACAATTAATTTATTAAAGGTTTTAATTTTGCAATATTTTTTTCAGTATTTTTGTTTTCACTCGTGATGAAGGTTATTTGTTTTTTAATTTTAATTACAATTATTTGTTAACAGTTTGGTTAATGTTAGGACTAGGTACGGCAACTGGAAAGACTGGGTCAGCCTGATAATTAATTATTAATCATTTGTAGTTTTTAATGTGTTTTTTATCGGATTGTTTGATTTTTCTGTTTTTATTGTTGTGGATTCTGTGTACTCGGTAGTTGTATATTTTCTGAGTGTTATTACAGTTAGGAGTGAGGATAAGTCACCCTTGAAAGATGAATATTTAAGATGTAGGTAGAAATGCACAAACTGTGAACCTATGTGGCATCTATATTACTCCAGTCCTTGTCCACAATGTATGTCTATGGCAGAATTTATCAATAAATATATTTATCCTCTAATTGTGTAATTATCTCTTAACTACAAACTCCCTTTTCATACTTATGTAAGACTAGCAGAGTACCCGTCCTTCGTACGGGGTTGGCATATAAGTATAAACGGCTTATTGTGGATATACTCGAACTTTCATAATTGATATAAAATGTATAAATATATAAAATCTATAAAATCCCTCTACACAGCACACCTGCAGACTAAGCAAGTTTATATTTGCCTGATTTTCTAATTTAGTTTTCTGGAAGTTTCTCTGTAACCATGAAGCACAAAACAAAGCTTGAAACTACTATTTTCTTTCAAGGTTTTTTTTTTTCAAGGAAACATGTTTGAAAAGAATTTGTTAAATATTTTCCAGGTTCAAAAAAGAGAACACCCTATTTTTGCACTTTAAACCCAGTTCCCCTTAAAATCAAACCATTTTAGTGAATTTCCTTTCAGGAAAGCAACTATTACTGTAGGTGGCACAGTGAGTGAGACCTAGGCCTGGGAGCATCGCTTTCTCATTTGGATGTCCCCTGAGCTTAAAAACACCATTTGTTCGAATTTTTATATACAACATACGTGTACGTAAACGTGACAACTTGAGTATTTTTTGTCCGATTTTGATAAAATTTGGCTTGAAGTGGGATGGGAGGTGGGATCGACTTTGCAAACCAGTGCAATAAAAATGTTTAGAGCTTAAAAAAGCTAATCCTGTACTAAAACTAAAAAGCTAGTTATTTTAGCGTACTACTTCCTATCACTGTTTATAAGACAGTAAACAGTTTTTGTTTATTTTTTTACTAATTTGTTATTACATTTTATGATTTTTAAAACATTAAAACACATCAATTCTTCACTTGCAGAGTTTTTATGAAAACGTTGCAAGTGATACTTTTTAAAAGTAAATATTTGGCTTCCAGATTTAGACTCCAGTTAATAGCCATATAAATAACTCATATTCTACTATGTGATGGACCAAGGAAAGAAAATCTACTTAATTTGATTTAATTATTATTTATTAAGACAGCATAAATAGGGGGAGGAGGTATATCATCTTCATCACTGTCAAACTCCACATTCGGATCTTTAATCCATTTCCCTGTTGCATCTTTTATCCATCCTGACCTAAAAAGTAATTAGATGTGTAAATAAATATATAATTTAAAATCAATATAATTCATTAACAGAGGGGATGTGGTAAAAGAAATAAATTTAACCAACAATTAATAATGCCGGCAGGTGATTTCAGAATAAAAATTCATGTAACACAATGCACATTATCTATTGTCTAAATAGATTGTATGATAGGTCTATTTATAGTAAATGTGCATCATAACTACTTACATACGTAGCTTTGTTTCATATTCTTGGATTTCAGATCGTAAAGCAGTTGATTCTGCTGACTGTGTCGTTACAGGTTTAGAATCGGTCAACCTTTCTTGTAAACACGATTCATGACTATTCTTTTGTAAATCAATCCCATAGTTTTCTCGATTCCTCTCCACAACTTTCTCCAAGGAAGTTTTGCGAGTCATTTTTTTCAGGTAATGTTTCACTGAGGTTGAAACTTGGTTATCTGTATCATTCAGACCTGAGAAAACACATTCAGACAACTAAATATAAATTACAATCAGTTCTATATCTATTTTTTCTAGCAATTTTTAGCGATGTATCTTAGGAAGCCAAATGTACATGTTTCAATAATTTTAGGATTATGAGATTGACAAATAAAGCACAGCAGTAAATACTTTTACTCAAAGATACAAAAATCTTACAACAGTTTTACAAGCTGTTTTATTAATGTTTTACAAATTTAACATTTTTCCTGAATTAAAAAAAGTCTATCAACTCAAGTTGTATCAAATAGCGTAAGATTATTTCTTAACAAATATTCCTATTACTCAAATACAAGCTATGTCTGTTTGTGAGTTTGTAAAATTTATTGTAAAATCCAGCGGAAGGTTTTAGACAAATTTTGTAATTTTGGGACTTACAGGTCTTAAAAATTGATTGGCAAAAGTGTGTCTACCTCAGCAAAACTTGTATTTCGCTACACGACTTGTTTGAAAATTAAAAAATTTAACATTGGCCTTATGAATTGTCAAGTAACCATGTAGGTTTTACAAAATAACGAGGAAAAGTAAAGAAAAGAGTTGTAACTTATAGACTTGTACACTAGCAAATTACAAAATACAGTACAAATGGAAGAACAACATACAGTTGTTACTATTGAGCAAAGATTACTGGGCATTTGGAAAAATAGTCCCGATAAAATATTGATTATTTGACTTGGCTCTACCACATTAAATCTTTATCCCCCAAGTACTAGGGAAATTTGTAGCAAACGGTGAATAAAATGTTTAAAAATGTTCATATTTTTCTTATGTATCAAATTTCAGATAATGGGTACTGTGTAGATGTACACAGAAACTGTATGGGCTCTTATGGAGAATATAACTGACCAATCAGAGAACAGGATTTTGATTATAAGTTGTATTTCACCACTCCTGCCAATCTGGAAGCACATCTCACTAACCCCCCCCCCCCCCCACCACGTGATTGGTTGACACCTATAGGATAGTGGTAGCCTGTTTACCACAGAGTTAGTCGAGACTGCCAAACATACTTTGCACGCAACTTCCCTCGGTGGTTTAGGGTTGTGTGTAGACTTATTCTTCCTTTTATCCAGTACTGGATTTGGACCACCAGGTTTAACAGAGAGGCCACCATCAAAATGTAGCGTTGTGTATACGGCAGCAAGTGTGACTGTTGAATGCTAACTCCAATTAAATGTTGCTAATGTTTACTAAAGCAAGTGTGCCAAGACTGCCAGGACATAACTTCTCCCTCTCTATCCATCGCTGAATTTGAACAACAAGGTAAAACAGCAGTCCAAAACAAAAATGGTTTTGGGTAGCCTACTTCGTGCCTGTTTAACTTCTAACTCCAATAAAATATTATTAATATTCCATGTTATGTCGGCCAGCTCAAAATGAATTCTGTCAATATAACCCCCTGCCTCCTCTAATTTCTCTGCTGGCATAGAAAACTGTGTATTCCTGAAATAACAGATACATTACAAGTCTGTCTAAAAACACACACACCAAAACACTTGTGACCATAATTACCTAGAAAACCCAACTCTAAAAATTGTACATGAATAATTAAAAGTGAATACATCTGGAGATGGTGTGCAAGAATCAGGGTTGAAAACAAAATCACCAACAACCTAAAAGCTAAATTCCCAAAAAATTCCAAAATTTCTTGGCAAAAATGCCAATTTTTTTTCTGGGGAAAAGGCTTGCTACCATCCTGGAGGTAAGGCCAGTCAAGGGGTGTGACCTAGGGGGGGGGGATGACTCCTTAAGGCCACGGGAGATGGAACAAAATTTAAATCTAAATCCTGCTCTATCATTGTTCCATTCTATTCACCATAAGAGTCCATGTATGTTCCATATTCACTTAAATGCACTATTGGTATTTAGTTGCAAAAACTTATGGACAAAGATTACTTTATAGAAACGATTTAAAGCTGAATTTAAGAAGTAGAGATGACTTACCAGAACGAACAGATAGTTTGGTTCTAGAAGCTTTTCCTATATCTAAAATTTGTTTCCTTTGATATTTCAATAGGCCTACATGTTTAGCTTCCACACGTTTGCACCCCAAAAGTGACTTCTTTTCCTTCTCTAGGATTACTTTTCTCTCCGCCTCTTCTTTACATTTTATATGTTTGCTGAGTTCTGAAAAAATCTCACATCAGGTTATATTTGTTTGAGAAAGCCAGTTGACTAACGGGTGTTTTAAAAAAATTTATAGAGGCTAGTTTAACTAGCTTATCTGAGATACAGTAATTGTAGCCCAAGGCATATTAGGTACACACAAAAAAAGAACACACAACATAACACTATTTTGTCCTATTAACTATAGTTCCTAGGACTTCTGTCCTGGACTAATGGGTTGAAAATTATTTGCTACAAATTGTTAACTTATCCAGGGCATTCGACTGTGTTGACCACAAACTAATTATTTGCAAACTGAAGAAAGTAGGGATTGTTGGTCAGGTATTGCAGCTTCTCTCAAACTTCCTATCAAATAGAAAGCAACGCACAGTAGTTTATAAAGATGGCCACAAGTTCTTGTCCGGATGGAATAATATCAGGTACGGTGTTCCTCAAGGTTCCATCCTGGGGCCAACACTATTCTTAATATTTATTAATGATATAGACTGTAATATATCAGGCAAACTCTTCTTGCATGCAGATGACACAAATGCTATATTAAAAGCCCCAAAAATACATCAATTGGAAATCATTGTTCAGAAATCAATAAAAGAACTAGATGAATGGTTCTCTCAAAATGGACTACTGTTAAATAATTCAAAACCACAAATTATGCAATTTAAGGGGAAAAACTCTTCAAATTCATTAAATAGCAGCCTATTAATCCCGACAGATTCACACAAAGTATTAGGAATACATATTGATTCAAATGAAATTGGGGAGATCATAATCAATATCTAACAAAAAAATTACTCTCTTTTCGCTATGCAATAAGTGTTACAATTGATGCAACATCTCTGGAAGTATGTAAATTAGTATATTGTGCCTATATTGATTCTATAATAAGGTATGGTATAGTACTCTGGGGATCCAGTCCCAAAACAAAAAACTTCTTAACGCACAAAAATCAATTGTACGTACCATGGTTAAAGTGTCAAAGAAAACAAGTTCTAGACCTCATTTTAAAATATTAGGGATTTTAACCATCACATATTTTTGAAATGATTAAGCTGTTAATTAAAAATATACAGTGGAACCTCGATAAGAAGACCCCTGATAACAAGTCACTCTTGATAACAAGTGTATTTTTAAAATCCCCTTGAATTTATTTTACCTCTAAACACACGTTATTGCAAACCTCAATAAGAAGTCAACCTTGATAGCCAGACTTATTTTATAATCCCCATGAGAGTCTTGTTATCAAGGTTCTACTGTAGATCATTTCGAAGAGTTTAAATTTACACATAATTCCACACGTCAGAAACATTTATATTTATATCAATTCCCAATACATAGACTAACTCTTTTTGAACGTACACCAAAATACATGGCTATAAAAATGTTCAATAAACTACCAAAAAGAATCACCAACAATCCAAAAAACATACTCCTAGAAAAATTACACGAGTTATTAATTGAAAAGGCATATTATCAAATAGAGGATTTCTATTCTGATGTTTTCCAAACGGACAAGAATTAATTTAATTTTGTAAACTAAATTCATGTTGAATACATACCTGATGGCTTTCATTAATTTTAGCAGGATTTTATCTTATTTGTTGTTTTTTATAATGGTAACTTTTACTACTTGATGTCAGTAGTAATAATTTTGAGTTGTGTGTATTTATTAGTTATAGTATTTTTTTTATATTTTTATTATGACGACACTCCTATCCTTGTAAGTTGTACTTGTAAGATGTTATGAGGGAATAAAGAAATTGAATTTGAATTTGAATTGTTTGAATTATGGTTTTAAAATGTATCCACTCATTTTCCCATTAACTTCTGATGGTAGAGACTTTTTAGTTTGGATGAGGGGGTTTGGAAAATACGAGTCTTACAGCATATTTAGTGGCTGTAAGTAGGGTATAAAGTAACATGTTAACTGGGCGACACAAGTGTCGCCCAGTGCTGAGATTTTGTCACCCAGTGACTATGGGTGGTGCCGGCATATTTTTGTTATGATTCACATTTTAAATGTATCGGAATTAAAAAAATAACATTATGTAAATATTTTAGAGTATTGAGCTATGATTTTGGCCCAAGAGGTTGTGAAGGGAGCTTTGGCCTGTTACAACGTATAGAATACGTAATTAAGTGAGATTATATGGACTATTTACAACTTTACAAGCAAATATAATCGAAAAATGCATTAAAAAATACGTAGAAATGTGTGATTTTCACTTTAACTTTTGCAAAAATTTTCGGGTGGGGTATTCCAGACCCCCGGTAAGTCCGGCGCCACTGTCGCACAGTGAAAATCCCTTAAAATAAGCTCTGACTGTAAGTATGTAAGTAATGTCATTTGGGGACTGACGAAGGGAACAACATTAAGCTGGGGAGAGTGTCAAGGGTCAGAACCAAGTAACCAGACATTAGAGTCGTGAGTGTCCGGTCTTCGGTAATTTGACCTTCCGAGACATCTGACCCTCCCTGTGGACGATCTGTGAACCATCCAACTTAACCACAGAAAACGTACTACTATAGCCAGAATGCCAACCGCATGGTAAAAAGCATTAAGCGGTTTGAGAGAGCTTTGCCTGTCAATCCGTAGGCAGCGCCACCAGCGATGCCATGCAATAGCATAGCAACGCTGGTGGCGCTGCCTACGGATTGACAGGCAAAGCTCTCTCAAACCGCTTAATGCTTTTTACCATGCGGTTGGCATTCTGGGTTATAGTAGTACGTTTTCTGTGACTTAACTCAGAAGAAACACACTAGGCTTTAGGTACCTACACAGTGCACATGATTGTTCTTTCTTATATTGTTCTATTGGCTGAATTTCTCTCCACTAACCCTCACCCAGGCTCAGTTACAGTGCGAAGGTTACCTGAGGAGGCTGAATGGACCTTTCTGTTTGAATCTGGCAGTGCCAAGTTAGTTTAAGATGGACAATCTACACTTTAGGTTGGATAATTGAGACTAAAGTAACTTATTACTCTTAACTCACCAAATAAATGTCGTTTCCCTCTTCTATGGTTTGCAAGCATACTAATTGTGTCAAAAATTGGTCGATGAATACAAATCAGGCAGGTTAATCTGTAAAAAAACATCATTGTTGTTATAGTCCAGTAAAATAATACATTTTGGTATGCAAAAGGTCGGGTAGTTCTGATTTTTGGATATGTTGTTAGTATTGGGCCCATAACATAAAATCCAAGTTATCCACCTCGAGATGCTGCCGCTCGCCGCGGGGCGCGCCACTTGTTATCGAAATATCAAAAATATGGCAATTCCTATTATTTTTCACTCAATCTCGCGAACCGATCATTTTACCGAAAATTTTATATTATTACATTAAAGAAGAATAAATTTGTGACATTTTAAGCCCAACAGCAAGTATGTAGCGTAAATAATGGTCAAAATACAGACCATCAAAATAAATATATTTTCCAAAGACCGATAAAAATTGTGGTTTTTTCAATATTTTCACAACTTAGTTGTTTGAAGCAAACACCATATTGATTTAGAGAGTATGCCAGTTTATTTGCTATTAATAGAAAATAAATGAAAGTATGAATAAAAATACCCCCACCTCAGCAAACCTGCAGACTAAGCGAATTTCCATTTGCTTGATTTGATTTTCACAAACAATAGGTTTGACCTTTTGCACAGCAACCCCATATTTTCTGACAGATTTACTGGACTATTATTGGAACCTGATTCTATCAAAACATATACCTAAATAACCAAGACACTAAAAAAATATTGATATTTAAAAATCAGATTTGCTTTAGAATTTATATCGTTAGGTCAATTCAATAGGCATTAAAGGTATTGAAACAAGCTAAATGTGGAGCAAGAGATCTTCGTCAATGCATGATTCAGTTTGTAAAAGATTATGAAATCCAATAAGAAAAAATTATATGTAATATGTATGCAATAATGTTTACCTCCCATTGCTCAACAGCTTAGCTTCATCTTGTGGGACATGGTTTCCAAGAAGTTCTCTAACACGCTCATCCTGTAATATGAAGGTTATATGAAGTTATTGGGTAACGTAGGTGGATAGGAAATGAAACTATTACAGTAAATGTTTATTCAATATTAAGTTTAGAAAAACTGTGATTAACTTATTCATATAAAACATATGACATGTCAACAAATTATCTTCACGGATTATATATAAGGAGTTAATGACATGGTAAATCTTAAATAACACTCAGGATAGAATGGGATTCATGCAGGATAAGTTTAAAACAGGATTTTTCTTTTCTGTTTTGTTTGTGTCCGGAGATTTGTAGGCCTAATGGTCATACAGTAAAACCTCACTAACTCCACAATTCTGCACCCAGAACGCCAGAGGTTGTCGAGTTATCCAAGCTAAGTTAAGTTATTGAAGGTTTTAATGATGGGTTTTTAAAATGTACATAACAGACTAATTTTTACAAATCAATTTATTAGGTAAGTAACGTAACTAAACTTAAGTAGGCACATGAGTATTAATATGTCCTATCTTAATTTTTTTTTTCATGTGCCCCGTCAGCTGTTGACTGTTGAGTTTCCGGGTATTGAGTTAATGAGGTTAGTACCGGTATTATATTAATCAAACTTAATATTAACCTGTTGTAGTTAGAAATAATATTTATTTTTGATAAAAAAAAATTATCCTACTCAGGATCAAACTAAGGGCCGGAGCACACTATCCCGACCACGACCAAACGCTAGCCCCTTATAAACTTACTTCGTGACCGCGGGAGACGAAGATGATGACCCCACAAATACGGAAATCCGCTCACGATTTAAACTTATTTGTAACCGAGGAGGCTGCAATAAAAAATCTTATTTACTGTGTCACTTTTTTGTCGTGCTCGTGCTCATTATGAATCTCCAACTCAAAAACGTTAAATAAAAGCTTAAAGAAAAATTAAATTTAGCATCATGTTTGTCTTGAAAAATAAGGCTGCACTTTACTTTAGGTCCTACACTCATTTGAATAAATATATCAATTAATCGATTGTTTCATTCGATATATCGTTTGGTTAGTTAGGTAAGGTTAGAGTTCATTTTCCTACTACTGGATATTGAAAATTTTAATAATAAAATAAACAGTTACCTTGTTCAATATCCCACACGTCATCAAACAACAAACGTCATCTAATAACACCAAAGGATATTGAACAAGGTAAAGGTAAGGTTACCCTAATCTAACTATCCTAGGTAAGGTTAACCTAACCTAACTAACCTAGGTAAGGTTAACCTAACCTAACTAACCAACCAAACGATATATCGAATGAAACGATCAAATAATCGATATATCGATCTATTTTTTCATTCAAATAAGTGTAGGACCTAAAGTAAAGTGCAGCCGAAAATAAATAGGCCTAACTTACTTCATAAATATGTGAAATAATAAGTTCCATTTAGGCCTTAGTACCCTGTTTAAAATAATTATATTAACATAAAATGATGTTAAACAGGGTACTATGGTATTTATTATTTCACGCATATATATACATAATATGTATATGTATGTTAAAAAGGGGCCCCCTCATCTAAGCCGCCCCCTAAAGGAAAGGAAAGGGTGAATCCTAGACCAGACCTAGGCCTAGGCCTATCTCTAACTTTATAAAATTTTACTTACATTCAGATTCTTCAAAAGGCTTTTATCATCACCATCACGTTTGAAAGACATAATCCTGATATTTATTTAGATCGTAACCTAACTTAATTGAAAGTGGATGCATTAGGCCTATACTATTGTTGTTGTTGTCTTCTGTTTGTTTTGCTCTTTTCCTTCTTGTGTTTTTGTTTTCGGTTTTCGTTCTCGACAGCGATTGCGACTCGCTCGAGTCTTCCTCTAGTACACTATCGCCGAATGTAGGCGAACTAAGACGAACGTGATAGTGTACACGGTGTGCTCGTGTACATTTGGGGTAGTTCGCATCGCCAACATTCGTGTTCGGGTGCGCTCGCTTTTTTGGCGGTCTCCTGTCGCGAATCAAAGGAGACGAACTAGGACGAATGCCGAGCGCAGACGGGACGAACATAGCCAGTACACACTCGCTGTCATTCGTAGTCACGGATGCTCTCTTTATACAGTATTTACTGCAGTGGTTGTGTAGTTAGAGTTACTTTAGGTTTTTTTTTATTTAATTATTTTCTACTAGATCTTATATAGATAAATTAATTGTACAAAGTATGGAGTATTCTAATGAGGAAACGCTGTTATTTTTGGAACCATACCATAGTGAGCCTGTTCTGTGGCCGTGGGATAATTAAATTGAATATTTACATTTAAGAAAACCAGCATTTTATTAAAAAAGCTAGCATTAATTTTAAATTATTAAGCCACAGAGAAGTAAGAAACTTAGGATACATTCAAGTGGTGTCTAACACCAAACGAAAATTAGCCTACAGAATTTCCTCTAGAATTTTCTAGAATATTCTTCGACGTTAGCGTCCATGTTGCACCAAATTTTGTGCGAATGTTTTGCCGCGAATACGCAATATAGGGTTCAGCACAGTTCGGGCGAAGTTAGGCGATAGTGTACTTGGTTAGTTCGGGATGGTTCGGGCTTCACATTCGTCAACATTCGTGGTCGCAATCTGACCCGAACATTCGGCGAAACATTCGGGCGAATGTTCGGCGAAAGTGTACTGGTAGCATAAAAAAACGAAACGAAATGATTTTTCTCACTTCAATACGCTCCCGCTTCACTACACTACTGTTTGTGTTTGGACTTGGAAGATGTTCTCTTCATGAGACATCGAGACATCCAGAGACATCATTAGCAACCAACTTACCAACAGCAACATTCTTCAACATACTACGTGACTTTGCAGTTTTCAACATAGCATAAATCAAGACCTTCGAGTTTGTCTATGTGATTAGAGATCTACAATTAGGCTAGTAGTGTAGATTTATTTACGTTAGTGTGAAAAATGGCAACATCAGTAAGTAAATAATTTTTTTTTATTTAAGTGATGTTTGAGGTTATACCATTTTTATCTTAGCCTAGCTAGTAGCCATTAGGTCTAGGCCTACTTAACTTATAATATTTTACTCAGCCTAGTTTATGTTTGAAGGTGTCTTAAACTTAACCTAGCAACGTGCTATACTTGGATACTTGAAGTCTATGTCGTTGACCGATGATATCTGCGTCATATTTACTTAATACTAAGAAAACTATTTACACACTAATATTTACACTGTGGCAATGGCTAAAAAGTGGCTCGTTGCCAAGTTCTTCAATGATGTAAAGAGGCCTATTAACCAGCCTGTCACGTAGGGCCGTCTTAAAATCATCTAGGTCCAGGTCGCGTACATGCACCGGCAAGGAATTAAAAAACCTTAACGCAGACCGAGGATAGCTCTTCAGTGAGCGGGCTAGGCGGCATCTCGGCAAATCAATGTCACAAGCTTGGCGGGTATGGTGACTATGTAGGCCTATATTTTCTCTGACATCAAAATGGTGCATATTAACCTTCAGCAGGATCAAGATGTTGAGTACATATACTGGCTATAAACAGTCAACACACCCAGCTCCAGAAAGATGGGACGACAGTGTGCTTTGTAGCCAGAAGATGTTATTATCCTCAACACCTTCTTCTGTAGTAGAAGTAACTTAACTTAAGTTAATTCCTGTGTCAATGGAGAATGGCCCCACAGAACCAGGCCATACGTGAGGTGACTGTGAAACAGCGCGTGATACACCGCTAGCAAATACGGTCTGGTAATGGTGGTCCTAAGCTTCCTTAAAAGGTAGAGAACTCTTGAGAGCTTTACACATACCTTTTCAATATGGAGGTGCCAACTTGGCTTTGAATCCATCCAGAACCCAAGCAGCTTCACACTGTTTTCCTCAAGGCCGATCTTCAAGGAACATAAAAGGGTCTGAGTCTTCTCCTCGTTGATCTTAAGTTTGTTGGCTATAAACCAGTCCTTGGCCAGCCTCAGGGTGTTGTTTGCCTCCTCCAGCAGCGTGTCGGATGTTCTTCCCCTTTGTGACCAAGGTGGTGTCATCTGCAAAAAGGATGGCATGGCTGTAGCAAGGTCATTGATCATTATTGTGAAAAGAAGAGGGCCCAGGACCGATCCCTGCGGAACTCCATGGGGAAGAGAGCCTATAGTAGAAGAAGCACCCATAACTGTCACTATTTGTTTGCGGTTGCCAAGGTAGTCCGCAAGAGAGCTGAAAACTGTGCCACCGATAACATATTTTCTCAGCTTGGCCAGAAGGATGTCATGTGACACAACATCGAAAGCCTTGCTGAGGTCAAAAAGGCTGAGGTGGACCGATGCATTTTCCTCAAAGGCCTGGGATATGGTGTCGACCAGGCTCAGGAGTGCGGAGGTGGTAGATCGACCACTACGAAAGCCATGCTGTGAGTCCACCAGTAGGCCATTATTTTCAAAGTATGAGAGGAGTTGCCTCTTCATCACAGTCTCCATCACCTTGAAAAAGATAGGGAGGATAGAAATGGGGCGAAAATTTTCCATCAGTGCAGGGTTCCCTTTCTTGAAGATGGGCACAGTAGGCTATATATCTAACTTAGGCCTACACTTCTCTGTGGCCTAACTTATAGGCCTTAAAGGATCACACATTTTTATGTACATCTATGTATTTTTTAAGGACACTATTTTATGTTTAAGCTGTGTTGAGTGTATCTTACTTGTTTGTTAACTTAACAGCTTATAGGCCTATACAACTTAGTGTTTTTAAAACGAAACATGTATCTCTTAAGCTCTGCTAACCCTGTAACCCTGGTTAAGGATTATAAACATTTGGTTGAGAAACACGTGTATAGCCAGGAACAGCGCAGCTATAACTTAAGCTCCTCACAATTTTTTTTTTCTCGGGTCGTTGGTGAATCTGTATGTTAGAACGAACCCTTGAACCATCGGTGAATCTTTATGGGGCCGAAAAATCACCATTTAAAAATTGCTACACAACCTAAAAGCCATGTTAATTGTAATCAGACTGATCTATATGTAGGCCTAGCCAACTAAATATAACCCATAACTTAGCTAAACTAATTAGCCTAGTTTAATTGTGTTAAAAATTAAGTTGATGCTTATACATGTTAGCATTTTTGTCAGGTCAGTTGGTTCACTGGTATTACAAACAAGTCTCCTCATTTGTTTTTTACAATTGACAGTTTGGCTTTATTGAGGGACATGAGTGTGATGATTTGCACTGCTACTTATAACTTATCAATTATCTTTAAGTAAGTTAAATAAAGTTTTCTTTGTTTTAGAAAACCAGAAATGTTCCTAGAAATCGACCAAAGAAACCGTCAAAGAGAACTGGAATGAGCTGTTTATCCTGGTTGATATGGGCCGTTCATTGGGTGGTTGACTGTGTAGTGGATTTTATCTATCAGTTCATTTATGATGATTCAAATCGCAAATTCATTGCCCCTATCAGACACCCATTTTTGGTTGAAAGTGCCACGTCACTGGCTGAAAAAATTAGAAAGAAAGAGGTAAGTTATAGAAATGCAAAAAAATTTAGAAAAATATATGTACAAGTATATAGGTAACTTAAACTTACTCTAATGTGTTTGTAGTTTTTAATCAAATCTATATTTTGTGTATATTTAAAAAAAGTAGGGCTCAACTTAAGTTACCGTAAGCAATTTTCAACAAAAAAAAAAATACCTGCAGATATTTTTCAATAGTCTCAAGCCATTTATATTATGAAATGAAACTATGATAACATTATCCAACCTGGTCAAATGTACAGTATAGCTTACTGGTAGCCTACATTTAAATGAGTGGGTTCGAGATGGTAGGAAGAGATTAACTTACCAATTTTTACCTGATCATTTACTTTTGTATTGTTTATCACAATTATTTTCCATTTATATTACCAAAGTCCTAACTCATGATTGTTAACCCTCCGAGTGTTAAGCGTCGCGTAATCGACGCACAACACACCCGCCGTGGTGTTATGCGTCGCCTTTGCGACACACAAACATCGTTTACGGCGAAGTCTCTGGGACTGACTGAATCAGATTGAACTGGATCGAGATTGTTATCGTTGTTTTCGGCAGATTCTAAGCTTTCTCCTAATGTCTGTTTCTAGACGCTTTTCATTTTAGTTCCGAAAATATTGTAGCAGACAGCTGACGTGCGTATTTGTAAACAACTTGGTTAACCTCGCACTGATGACTGATGTGTTTTATTACGTTTATCATTGTTTTAGTGATAAAAATAAAAAGTAGTGATATACGTGGTGCATTATAAGAAGATTTAAGTGATTTTGAAGGGCTGGTTGATGATTCTGAAGAAGTAGGTTAGTGATATTGATGTCAATTATCGGCCAGATTCCTATGCTATGGTTAGGCTATGCATTCTTAGCTAACGCTAAGTGTACGAAATCAGTTTTTTACCCATAACTAATTTATTTGCAAATTTACTTCATTATATTATTATATTTATGTAATCCTTATAAAATTTAGAACAAAGTGGCTATTTTAAAATATTTGTAGACTTATAAATTATAAAAATTTATTGACCACAAACATAAATTTTTTTTCATTTATTTTATAATTTTTGAGAAATGTTAACCCCACAAAAATTATTGAAAACTTTTTTTGTAATCTTTTATATATTACATTGAAGCCCATAATTTCCCAAACAAAATGATATTTAAAACAGTATACTTTACATTGTTTTTAAGTTTCTAAGATACATTTTAATAAAACCCTGCGATTGCGCAATAAATGGGTGGACATTAATACCAATACTATGGACACTTGGAGGGTTAAAATCATGAGTTAGGACTTACTTATGAGTACAATTACTGTCTTAAAAACTACAGTTTTAGACCATAATTTTAATCTTTGGGGCCAATTTTTATCAGTCAAATTAAATATGTTTGTTTACAACTAGCTGTCGTCAGAGAAGCTTGTCAAGAGCTGCATAGAGCGAATGGAGGAGATAAATGCAGACCTGAACTGCATCGTAGACTCTAGGTTCAAAGAGGCACTGGATGAAGCCAGGAAGGTGGATGAGTTTCTTGCTACCACAACAATGTCCGTGGACGAGTTAAAGCAGAACAAACCTTTCTTAGGGGTTCCGTTCACTTCTAAGGAAAGCACACATGCCAGCGGTAATACATGTTTATTTGCACAACTTAAGTTTACAAAAATTTTTCTTAGGTCATAGGCTAAGTTTTCCAGGGATAAAATATGTCAAAAGGTAATTTTTTAATGTTGTTATTATTTCATTTCATTTCATATAACTTTATTAATTTAAGTACATACATAAAAACAGGAATGACGTCAAGAGTAATTTAATAAAACTAACTTAACTAAAATACTCATCATTATCATGCATGGCATAACAACATACTATCAATATTAATAGCTTTCCAGATCAAATCAATTAAAACAAGCAGTGCAATATGAAAGTTTATAGGCTATAAGAAAATATCAAAATTAAAAATACAGATAAAATGATTTTTAAACCAAAAGTTTCGATTTAAATGAAATAGAGCAATTTAATAACTAGAATAATATAGAACTAAAACTCTTCAAAGGAGTACATAGCCTTGTTGATAAGAAACTTTTTCAATTTTGATTTAAATTTATTTTTGGAAGTTTCTAATTTGATTTCTTTAGGAAGTTTATTATAAAATTTGGAACCGGCATACTTAGGTGTCTCCGTAAAAACTTGCAGAGTATGTGAGGTTGTGGCCAGGTTTTCTCGATTTCTAGTAAAGTAATTGTGATAGTCTCCAATAAGTTGTAATTCATTAAATCTGTATTTTACTGATAATACTGTTTCATAGACATACATTCCATAAACAGTCATAATATTCTCAGTTTTAAAATATTCTTTGACTGAAGTTCTGCGTTAAATTGCACAAAATTCTAATAGCTTTCTTTTGCTTTTTTAGAATTGATTTTAATTTTTTCTTTTTTGCTGCACCATAAAGTGAAACTCCAAATGATATGATTGAATGTATGTATGAAAAATATATAATATTTAAAGTTTCCTTTTCACATAGGGATTTTAATCTTGTTAGCGCTTAAAAGTCAGATGAAATTTTAGAAAGCAACTGATCAATATGATGATTCCACTTCAAATTTTCATCAATTTCTAATCCCAAGAATTTGATGTGGTCTTTATTTTGAATTGTGTTGTTATTAACTACAATTTTTGGCAGATTTTGCAGTTTAGTTTTTCCTGCTTGGAATATAAAATTTGTTTTATCTGTGTTCAAACGCAAATTATTTGAATTAAAAAAACTGTTAAGTAATAATATATCAGAATTGGCCTTGGCTTCAAGTTCAGCATATGTTCCTGCGACTATTTTTAAATTTGCATCATCAGCATATAGGCAAGCTTGCTTAAATCACTAAGTTGCGGAAAATTTCTTAAATAAAAGATGAGTAAAAGAGGGCCTAGGATCGATCCTTGGGGCACCCCATATTTTACTTCCCAAGAAAATGGTTCAAGAATTGTAAGAAATTTTATAATTTTTGTTATTACAATGACTTAGTTCTACGTATTGTTTTCTATCAAAAAGATATGACTTGAACCAGTTCAATGCAGTACTATTTAGTCCACTACTACTGAGCTTCGAAAGTAACAACTCATGAGAAATTGAATCAAAAGCTTTACTGAGGTCCATGAACAACCCTACCACTTTAGATTTACTCTCTAAGCTATCAATAATGGATTCAATGAAAGCTGTGGCAGCTGTTATGACAGATCTGCCACTTCATTTGTGTTTTTATGAAACAAAAATACACTCAAGACTGTTGCCTTTGATATGTTGTACAGTAGAGTCCCGCAAACTCGGCGTAATGTGGACTGGAAGGGTGCCGAGTTTGTGAAATGCCGGGTTATCAGGAACTAGGTTTAAAAATAAGAACAATACAACTTTTAAGCTTTTTAACCGCCTTTTTTATTAATATTTCTACTAAAAGTCAGTATTAAGTAATCAGATGTAGTAGCCTTCAACAAATCCTTGGAATGAGTTGCGAATGATTTGACTAGAGCTGGCTCGAGTCCATTTTTAACTCGGACTCAAAAAATCACTAATTTTCTGACCAGGTGATGGCTGAGTTATCCAGACTGCCGGGTTATCGAGAGCTGAGTTTGCGGGACTCTACTGTAGTCCTACTAGAATTTTGTTTTTAATTAGGTTTTGAACTCAAAATTGAAAAATAGATAAATATGGTAGGACAATTTAATTTATTACAGTTTTTTCCCCCACATATTTGGATTTTTATGATACTGACAATCGGAATTATTCTGTACTGTTCAAATCAAATCAGTTATTATAATAATTCATTCGGCCATTCAATACAGACAATGTGCAATAGGCTATAAGTCATAAAAATCATAAGCATTAAATAAAACATGCTAGCATACAAAGCAAAAAGTATCTGCAAAACATCACACCATGCAGGCAAAACCAAGCGCTCAGGAAGACATCAGCTTACCAAGCAATACATTACATGCTAGATACAATCATTTGATTGTTGAAATTCCTTTACTTGGCACCTAAGGAATTTTGATATTTTTTGTTCTACATTACAGGTGAATAAAATCAATATATTACTGAACAAAAGGTCGAGGCTAGATAGTAACAAGACCAGTATTTGAACCATTTCTTACAATAAAATTTTAAGAAATGTTAATGATGGGGAAAAACTAAAAAAAAAACATTCTTTGAAAACTATTTATTCTTTTATTCATTAAAAAACATATTATTTATAAATGACGATTATTTGATCCAATTCATGGTTGAATACAGATTATCAGAGTTTTTAGTAAAATTATCAAAGAGTGCCCAAGTAATATTGTTTACAATTTTTCAGGTATGAACAACACGTACGGTATGCTCTCTCGTAAGGGGTCCAAAGCCAAGGATGACGCAGACATAGTGGCTCGTGTAAAGGAGAGTGGTGCGATATTGTTGGCTGTTACTAACGTCCCGGAGCTAAACCTGTGGCAGGAGACTCGTAATAATCTCTACGGACAGACCAACAACCCTTACAATGTTCACAGGACTGTTGGCGGCTCTTCTGGCGGAGAGGTGTGTTAATTACTGATGACTTAATCATATAGTGACCTGTTTTATTATGAAGATGAAGATAGTTAATAAAAAGTTTAAGTAACTGGAAGACTGTCTGGTGATTGTGGTTTTGCTTGGACGATGAATAGTTCAAAAAAACGTACGGTATATTATTTGAACAAAAACCTTAACAATCATGTAAACACCACAACTGTATGAAGCTATTAATTTTTCAAACCGTTTTTAAATTGTAGCCCAAGTCAAAGGAAAGCTAATTAAAATTATGCAAATATTTTTAGTGACATAGCACTTGTACTTTCATCACATCTAAATTTACAAAAAAAAAATATTGCTATTAAAATACTTGAGTTTGATTTGTTGCTTTGTTTCCAGGCCGCAGCAATTGCCGCTTGTGCTTCTCCTTTTGGGATCGGAACAGACATTGGAGGATCAGCTAGAATGCCAGGTTACTTTTGTGGAATATACGGACACAAACCAACAACAGGTACTTTAACATTTCAATGTTAACATTTACCCAGATCTTAGCATATTAGGTTTTTAAGGAGCTTTTATCATAGATTTTTACTAAGAGAGCAGCACACTTTCTGTGTATAGCCTATTTTAAGACATGGTTTTTACCGAGATCAAGGGTAGCTTCTTCCAGTTTTGAACCATGAAAAAGCCTATAAGAACCAAACCAATTGGGGGGTATTCCGTATCCCCCCGGAGGCCCCCCACACGGAAATCCTAGGGCCCCATTGGAAAATTTGCCCGGGCCCCTGAAGTCCTAAGTCCGGCCCTGGTATACTATCTGTAACTAAAGTTTGTCTGAAAACAACATGTTTTTATCCCGCCACATACCCTACTACCCCGAAAATATAGGTTTCAACTGATGGGTTTAAGAGTTTTTTTTTCTAGAATTTGTATTATAACCTCTGTGAGAAACATAGCAAAAGTTTCGTGTTTCATATCAAAGCTTTTATGAACGATTTTCTTAGCCCTCTTGGTGCCCATCAACAAATCTCAAATGTCACACCATTATTGGCAGTTTGCAGACATTTATACAAAACGCTCTAACAAATTTATAAAATGAACTACACCTATAAAACTATAAATTTAATGAAAGTAGATCAAATGGGCTACCTTAAAACATGAAAATTGCTAAGTTTCCGTTAGGATCAGTAGGTATAGGCTATATGTTAACAATATTAAACAATACAACTATAGGCAAATACAAACAATATCAAATCAAACTTATTTTTAAGGTTAGGGGTCCCGTTAAGTATATTTAGACACTACAGTAATAATAAAAATTTCAAGATATACAATTTGTTAAGAATTGAATAATGAACAAGAAAATATGTAATAGTTACAGGTAATATGAATAAAATCAATATTTATGACGAGAAACAACTATGAAGTGCAGCAGTGAGTGAGTCATGAGTCTATTGGAGCATTGGTGGGAGTCGACTGTACTTGACAGCTGGAGGGGAAGCGTGGTGGGAGAGACTTTCTGTCTCTCTTGCACTGCCTCCCCTACACGCCACGCACGGTGAAACAGTCTTTACCACAATGTCTCAGTTTTGTTTCATCTGCAGGCCTAATCAGCACCAAGGGCATGACGTGGCGTACAGGGGAGGAGAAAGTTCCCACCATGGTGTCTGCTGGTACCATGACAAGGTATGCTGATGACATCACACCTTTCCTGAAACTGCTGCTGGGGGATAACGTCAATCAGCTGAAACTGGACACTAAGGTAGCCAACTAGTTCTCAAGGTATAGAAAACATAGTATATACTCACTAGTGTGGCCGCATCGCCGATGCCACAAAATATTCTGACGAATGTTGGGACAATGATCGCTGTAGCCGGGACTGCCAAGATGTATGCTGACAGGTGTTGCCGTGATCGTGGGGACGATGACCACTGTCGCCCAGATTGCCAAGCTATTCTCACGGTAGTTGCTGTAATCGTGGGAGACGCAGTTCAATGCATTATGAAAAATGATGATTACTTTCTAAAATTCTGTTTAAAGTTGTTACTGAAAGTGGTGTGATAAAAGTTTCAATTGTAAAACTGAATATTTAGAAATTTGTCTTGAATTATACTGGAAAACTCCTTGAATTTTTTAAGCCAGATGTAGTAGACACCCTGGAACTGCTTCTATTCCTCTCAATACCTTGTTCTATCCCCTCTGTTTTGTCTTCAAACTTTTTTTGTCCTAGGACGCTAGGCACGAGCCTGGGATAGTTTTTCACATTACTTCAGGCTAGACCTAGGGGTTGCGGCATTATCAATTAGATAAAATCCATATTAGTGATAGGCGGGATTTGAACCCGGGACTTCAGGGACCGAAGTGCCACACTCTAACCACTAGACCAGCTCGTTCCCCAGATCAGACATGCTGTACAATCATTTAATTGTAATAAAAATTATATCTACTCTTGGAACTTACATGATTGTGTTACTCTGAAGGTGGAGATGAAGGACGTGAAGGTGTGTTATGTCGATGAGCCCGGAGACCTGAGAGTGAGCAGTGTTAGTGCAGAGATCAAGGGGTTGATGCTACAAGCAGTCTCACACTTGGAGGAACAAACCGGATCTCCTGCTAAACTGGTCAGTAATACAACAAACACCCTCCAGATCAAATATACAAAATTTGAGATGCTATTCTAAAATGTATGGTAGTATTTTACATACAGTTTCAATAGTCTGTTTATCTTTACGATGGCTCTGAGTCGTGAAAACCCTAAGTTCTGCAGTCCTAAGTAGCCTACTTTATTAGGTCCAAAATGTCAAATTCATTCTAAGTTGAGGCTGTAATAGTGGTCGATGTCCGTCACAATAAGTCAAAATAGGGTAAAGTCAAAATATTGAAAGTGTTTTTGATTTTGTTTTGTTTGACGATTGATGTATGATCATGATTTTGACTTTGTTGATGATCTAATGTATCCTTATGACAAATAAAGATTCTTATTATTACTATTAATATTTTTTTTTTTGTGGAACACGCAAATTTTTGCACATGTAAGGGTTTGCGTTAACTTGCATAACTCAGTTACCATGAGCAATAGAGTGATGAAACAAAAAGCATTTTGATCTGGAAGAAACAGCCTAAATATTATGTTCAGTACATATTTAATGAAATGTGTATCAAAAACAGCTTTCAACCCATCTCAACATTTCATAAGAAAACGGAAAAAATTTCTACTTTTAAAGGAGTATCACCGTTGGAACGAATAAAATCTCAGACTAGATTTTTTTGTGTGTGTAGCAACTCAGTAGAACTGTTTGTATTTCAAATATCAACCCTGAGTTCATAAAATTATAAACTACAAAGTTTTACTGAGTTGCTATACAAAAAAAAAATCAAGTCTGAGATTTTATTCGTTCCAACGGTAATATGCCTTAAAAAGTAGAATTTTTCCGTTTTCTTATGAAATGTTGAGATGGGTTGAAAGCTGTTTTTGATACACATTTTAATAAATATGTACTGAACATAATATTTAGGCTGTTTCTTCCAGATTAAAATGCTTTTTGTTTAATCACTCTAGTGCCAATTGTTACCGAGCTATGAAAGTTAACACAAACCCTTAACATGAGCAAAAATTTGCGTGTTCTGCAGAACAAAAATGGTCACCGTGGAAGTAACAAAAGAGGTTTAAAAAATTTTAAAACGCGTTTGAACCCAGAATTGTTATAATAAGTGTCTAGGATAAAAATATAATTTATTAAAAAAATGTTCAAGCAACCAATTATTTTATTTCTGGATCACTTGATATGGATAGACCCATTGTGGTAGTTCTATTTAGTTAAAAAGTTCTTTATAATTGTGATTATAAATAAATAATACTTTTTACCTATTTTGCAGTTCATCCTAGTCAAATCTATAGTAATTGTTACCACAATATGTTACATGATATGTTATAATGATTTCATTGTTCATAACAGTTGAACCTGCCAGGTTTCCGTTACTGCTACACCCTGTGGCGCTACTGGATGAGCAAGGAACCAGGCAACTTTGCTTTTGATCTGGGAAACAGAAAGGTGAATACAGTTTATTTATATTTTGTTTTAGATCTAGATATATTTTGTGTTTTTTATTTAGAGCAAGTTGGAGTTTTGCTGACTTAATGAGGTTTTGACAAGGTATTACACGTGGACTAAGTTCAATAAAATTAGATGGGTAAAGGTAGTTGAAGAATAAGGTTTTTATTGCATGAAAATGCGGTATTTTATACAAACACTAAAATTATTTTCCATCAACGTCACTGAAGGTAATCAAACTGTATAACTAAACTAACGAAGCACTTTTTTTTATTTTCTACCAACAATAACTATAATTTGTGGTTAATCTTTCTTCTAATAACTAATAAATCATGTAATATAATTTAAATACAATTAATGAAATTTTCATTGTTGCAGCATGAAGTGAACGTTCTGATGGAACTGCCCAAGTTTGTCCTGGGCAAGTCAGAGTTCACATTGCCAGCTCTACTGAAGCTGCTGGAGATGACAGTGTTCCCTGCAGTACCTGCTAAGTGGGCCGAGGAGCAGACGGAGAAACTGAGAAACTCACTCATTGTAAGTAATAAAAGGACAGTCAGAGAAACTCACCCTTAGTAATTAACAGAGGATCAGACAGAAACCGAGAAACTTTCTCATTGTAAGTAACTAAAGAACAAAGAGAAACGCTCTCATCGTAACAGGAGCAAACAGATAAACTCAATTATTGTAAATAACAAGGCAGTAAACAGAAAAAAATAATTCCACATGATTTAGGTAATAATGTGATTGTTAGTGACAAAGTTATGCTTGACAGGAGGAGCTAGGGTCCAATGGAGTGCTGCTGTTCCCGAGCCATCCAACTCCTGCCACGCACCACTGCGTGCCTTTCTTCAGGCCATACAACTTTGCCTACTGGGCCATCATCAACGTGCTGCGCTTCCCAGCAACCCAGGTGCCTCTGGGACTGTCCAAGAACGGCCTTCCTCTGGGTCTGCAGGTGTGTATTTGGAAAACGCGGAAATGAACAAAAAATTTGCCACGATTGTGGAAAACGTTGCTGATGTTCCGTTACCACAGGGGCCATTCAGGGTTTTGCTGTGACCCTGGGTGTCAGTGACAATGTGTGGGGGTGCGAGATAAGAGGTGAAGCTGGATCCACCACTGTATCTCAGCAAGTGAAAAGAATAAACTTTTGACTATATGCACACACTGTTAGTGACACATTTTACTATGTATAATAATGGGAAACTGGCTAAAGCTGGTTTATATCAATGAATGTCTTCTTTGAACTGTGTTATAACAGGAGGCCAGTAGTTAGGCAGGTTACCTGCCTCAGTTGACTTGAAATGCAATACCCGAGGCAGGTAACCTACCTACCTTCATGCAAACATGGCTATTTGAAATTCAATGCTATGAGGATTGGTCATCTCAGAAGTTACTGTACAAAGTTCTGCTGTGTGTTTGCAGGTTGTCGCAGCTCCATACAATGATCACCTGTGTATCTCTGTTGCTCAGGAGCTAGAGAGAGGGTTTGGTGGTTTTGTGCCGCCCTGTGTTGTCAACCACTAGTGCTACAGAGTATCTATAAGTTACAATCTACTTCGGGTATTTGGTTTAATGGCTGTGGACTTAAGTATAGGCAGTATTATTAATATTGTTCTTCTTACATCATAATGATCAAAAACATGAACAAACTCTCGTTTATCTTTGATATGATATGTTTCAGGCAATAAGCTTGTACAAACATGTAATCAATGTGATTTTAATAAGATACTCTTAAAAAATAACAAGCTTAATTTTTTGAGTTCGCAATAGAAAATTAGTTTCTAAATGATTTATTCTTTTGTAATTCTGTTTTTTTGTTGACTAAACATAAGTTCCAAGATTTGGTTTTTTTATTTGTCTTGTAAGGTTTTATTTTATAGTTTCTAAGATGCCTTCCATTATTGTATATATATGTTTTTTTAAAGCTCAAATGATGCTTGTTTTAATATATTTGATACTGTGCATCCTAAAATTATGTTTTCAAGTGCATGAAGTCTTAAGCATGTGTCAGACAATTTCTATTTAATTCAAGCACAAATATCAACAAAGCAATGTACTGTTTTACTGGTTTATAAACTAAAATCAAGTGATACATTACTTTATACTTTAATACTTTTCGATGAAATTGTGACCATACAAATTAGTTATTTTAAACCAACTCAAAGTAGATCAACTTCTTTTAGTTTATTTAACATTTTTTACTTTAGATATACGTTTATGACAGTTAGTTAAGAAACGTCCGCTATAAGAACAAAAGAAAGGAACAAGAAATAACAAAGCAAACATAATTTGTAAAGCCTACTGTGAACAATACTATAATAAGTTTATACCAAACTGTAGCCGGGATTAGATTATTAGAAAATAAGAACAAAGATCAAATACTCAAGTGTTTTTAAGTGCATTCCATTTAAATTGAGTTAATATCTTAGTTATCACATATGTTATCATTTTGGATCATTTTTGTGTTCAGATATATATAAGGGTTATATTAATGTTGATCAAATAAAATTTTATTATTTCTTATAGATTTATAAAAAAAGTATTTTTTAACTTGTTCCTTTTTACACTATCCATTTCCTGAAAGAAATCAAAGGTCTCTACAAAGATTTCAGAACCATGCGGACATATGTACATATGACCATATGTACTTATGTTGGTAAAAAGGGTGCCATGAGTATTTTACAGTTTCAAATCTACACACTTTTTTCTATAAATAGACAACAACTAATAATAATATCCTTGAGAACTATCTATTACCAAGTAATTGTTGTTCGAAATTGAGAAAGTTCCAGGTAAGGGGTGAATTAAAAGAGATAAGTCTCAAAATAACTTTGTATCACACAGTTGTAGGCCTACTTGTAGTTTGTTAGTAGATTAAAATCATAAAAGATACGGTCCAAGCATAGATTAACACGTTCGCTACTGCAATAGTACGAAATTTTTCATTCACGTGGACCAGCGACGCACATATGCGTCGGCTAGTCACATTAAAATAGACTGCCGTCGCATATTTGCGTCGGGGTTCTAATGTTATTAAAATGCTTATATCTTTGTAACGGTCTATTTGAAGGCACTGAATTCCCTGTAGTGGTCTACAGAGATGTCTGACGCACAACTGCGTCGCTTGGTCTGTGGATATGATGATTGGTGACGTCATATGATAGTTGGAAAAACTGGTCTTTACTTTTCTGCACCACTGTATGTATGTATGCTGCATTATCCTATGTAGCTTTTATATTTGTTCAGTTATAAACTGTTCTTGATCAATCTGTTTTTTTTATTTTACTCACTTTCACTTCAAAATACTAATACAAAAAATGAACTGTCGCATATATGCGACGTTTGGTCTATTTCAAGAAAACTATGATAATTTTCACTATTGTCTTCGCTGTAGACCGGGCGTCGCAAATATGCGACATCACGAAAGGTTATTAATAATACAAAAAAACAAGAATAAATGATCACTGTTTTACGGGTTTTCGCCCGTTGTCTGTGTGTACTGTTATCCAAGTGACAGCCGGTCTATGTGTAAGATTCAAATGTATACCTCGGTCTGTGGTAATGACCGCGGCGTCGCATATATGCGACGCTCAGTAGCGAACGTGTTAAATAAGGAGTAAACACTCTATTCATGGTCTTAGTAACTACTGGAAGTAGGCTACTCAACTCACGCTATTTATATAAGCTCTTTATAACAATAGGCTATTTATTGTAAATAAATTCGTACCTAGGGCCGAAAATTCGGTTTTGCTGGCTCGAAGTTCAAAAAGAAGTGAAGATCTTAAAACAATCTGAGATCTGTAAAAACCTTTCGGCCTGTGGTACAAGCGCTATGTCAGGCAAAGTATTGTTTGTGTTGTGTAGCGAAAGTAATGTTTATGTCAGAAAAAGTCAGCTGATCACTATTTGTTTTTGGTGTATGGAAATTGACAATTTTGGAAGATCTCAGCTGTCTGGAAATAGGTTATTTTCAAATACAGAGTGTTGAAAAATTTTTCCTACAGTCACGACAAAGTTGGCTTCCTTGCACTGTTTATAGTACCGAAAGCTGCTAATTGCTGTATTTACTTATTTTGTTGTAAGGTTTATACTTTGGCGCTCATCAGGATTCCAACCAAACAACACAAAAAAGCGTGGTTTTATAATGCATATAATCCAAGAAAGGTACGCTTGGAAATAGGTTGGCAACAATTAAAGATAATAATACTAATTGACTACTATAACTATGATTTAATCTGTCATTTCGTGTTTATGTTCTGTTTTCGTTCAACCTTCCCAACCTTGGTTTGAACATAACCTACGTCCTACAATGTAGCATTTGAAAGATTAATAATTATAAGTGGGCCAAAATAATGAAGTCAGTGAAAGTGAAAGCAGTGGCGTAATTTCACCAAATCCTTGGGGGGGGGCAAATACTGGGGGGTACGGAATACCCCCCAGCAAACGGGGGGGGGGGGGGGTTCGGGGGTCCTCCCCTGGAAAATTGTGCAGTTTTCAAACAAAAAAAGAGGGGTTTAAGCTTATTTTAATTGTCAAAAGCACTTCGAATAAAAACAAAATTATGAGTCAAATTTATTTGAATTCAGGCAGAAAATTAAAGAAACTAACAATTATTGATAACAGACAGAAACATAATAATATGTTGGTTAGTCATCTAAGAAACGTGATCAATAGTTTCATGGTGTATTAATATAATTTTTGTTATTAGATTTATGACCAAATTCTCTTGTACAACATTTAGGGGCGGTTTGGGAGCTCGGTATTAGCGCTAGTCCGCGACTAAATCCGGATATTTCCGGTATTTTAGGCTGCCGCCTCGAAAACGGGTTTGTGAGCTCGGGATCAGTAAGGCGCGCGCCTAACTTGTGCAGGGATAATCTCGCGCCTAAATATTGTTGGTTTGGGAGTCAAGTAGACTTAGGCACCAGCCTAAGAGATAGTCTCGGTGGGTTTGGGAGACCAATTTCGGGACTAAGAGATATGTTTTCGTCATAAAAATCAGTGAGTTTAGTCCCCAACTTTAGTCCTGCCACGGGGCAGGTCTAAGTCGACATCATGCCGGTATTAGCTCATTAGCAAGTTAATTGTTTACATATTAACTAAAAGAATGTTATATTGGAATTCGTTATTAAATTCCGAACATTTTCATTACTCTCAAAGTATATTTGATAAAACTTTTTTTTAGTTTTCTGTTGTTCAAAATAAAACGAAAATCTTGCAGAAAGCTAAATTTAACGAAAGATTATTTGGTTTTTGTTTTTACTGTTAACTGCAATACAAATATGGACCCTAAATAGAATTTATTTCAACTGAGAGTTTGGCTATAAGCACCCGTACCTTAATTATAAATATTTTATTAGTAAGGAAATAATTAGCAACCACATGCATACCCCCCCCCTCACCCCCTACAAAAGAGTGAAGAGATAGTAAACAAAACATAAAAAAACTGCAAATAGCTCACAGTCATAATCGTTATCTTTTTATTGCGTTGTGATAGAGCTCAGTTCAGTGTCATTGACCAAGTTCTAGTTACATCAAAATGGAGTACCTAGATTATTTGGAGTATAAGAAAATATATACAGTATATCAATAACCCGCCACAGAAAACCTGCAGACTAAGCGAATTTCCAAATAACCTAATAGAGCTTTCAATTAAATTTATTTAAATAACTTTAGGTTTAACAAGCACCTGAAACTACCTACGGTGTAGGTATGCTGCTACAGGGAGGGTAATAAAGAGTGTTTTTAACAAAATATTAACAGCTTTATAAAAAATAAATAAATTTGCCAAGTTTCATAAAAATATATCCATAAACGACCACACTAGAACAGTTAACTTATTCTCCATAAGAATCACATGGGAATTTAAAATTTACAATTTTACAAATAGTCTCTGTAGCCAATAACCGTACAAAACATTTTAAGATATTAATTTGTTTTTATACTCTTTAAAATACTCTTTACTCTTTAAAATTATAGGGGTTAAAATTGAGAAAAAAACTATTTTTATCCTATACAACTTCGGGTTCCCTTGGTCTGATCATGCTCGTTCGCGAACTCATTAAGGAGAATCGCGCCTAACACTTTCATGCCAAATTTTATCAAAATCAGACAAAAATTACTCACGTTTATGGACGTATATATAATACATTTATATATAGGCTATACATATATAAAATTTTGAACGAACAGTGTTTTTGGCCTCTAGGGACATCAAAATGGAAAAGTGTATCGGTCCCGGAACTAAGTGCTACCTACGGTAATAGATACTTCCCTAGGAAAATTAGATAAAAGAGTGTCATGTAAAAAAAAAATTTAAATTGACAACAATTTTTTCTAAGTACTGTATTACAAGATTTTTTTACATTTACCTTGGCTTCACACAATCATAACCTCTGCAATTACTTTTTATTATTTTTTTTTTTCAATACCCCTATATTATACTGGGAAATTACTGTTTAATTTTGAAGCTTTTTATTGCATGAAACCGAGTTTCCGATGTTAATCCTATGTTGCTCTGTACGTATTTATAAGGTTTAGTACTTAAAAGACAACTAGTAGTACTTAAGGACAACTGATTAAATAATTATAATTCGTAAAGTGAAAATAAAGTTAGATCTTAAAAGAATTTTATATATATAATTACGGTTCTTCAGTCATTGGGATGTAAAACAACGATCTTACAAAACTACATTTTTGAAATGGTACAATGCAGAAACATACACCATAGTCTACTAATTAGCCACCATTGATATACCAAGATAAAATTGTATCCATCTTCAAAAAGTGTTCATTTTTTGTTGTTGTCAACGGTAACGGGTTCTGCAATGGCCGTTGCCAACGTCAAAACCTGAATTCCCCGCGATTCCCTGTCCATCTAGCCGCGCTGCAGCTTAGACGCGACTATACTTGATCTACGACCATTTCAACTTAGGCGCGAGCTCCCAAGCCTGGTTTCTGGTCCTGGGACTAAAGTTAGGCGCGTCCAACACTAGGCGCGTACTAGCTGGGCTCGAGCTCCCAAACCGCCCCTTAGACCTATATAGCAATGAATACGGTTGTATTCATAGACTATAGTTCATAACGGTGTTTAATTTGGGTTTTAAATAAAACATAAGTATTTAAGTACTTAAAAGCAAATCAAATTTTATTATCAATAAAATAATTTGACAATTAATCTGAATGTGCTACTGATACGCTAAAAAATAATATTTTTGTTTGAATTACTGTAGAAGAATAGGCAAGATTTTTGTCTGCCGTGCTTTTTAGGATTTGACAGGAGAAAATATTTGTATATTAGCTAGTACAGAATTTTTTTTCTCTAGCCCAGGAACCAGGGGGGGGCAAATGCCCCCCCTGCCCCCTCCCAAATGACGCCCCTGAGTGAAAGTGATTGTGAATATATTGTGTAGACCCGAAGAAATAGCAGAAACTGCAAAACATGTTTCAGAAATCAGAAACTTGTTATTGTCTTTTTGCAAGGTACATGCATATGACAAAGTCAACAATGAGGTTACAAGTTCA